TATCTTCATCACCACATCCTGGTTGGCGCTGTCCGAGCTGTGCACAACTCACTTCGTAACTCGCCTCGTTCATCACACCTCAATTAAGTTCAAAGATGTCGACGCTGCTACGTCTCGTACTATTGACATTGGCCGTGGTGCTGTCGCCCTCGCGTACACAAGCTGCCAACAAATACCCGATCATCCTGGTCAACGGTTTCACCGGGTGGGGGCGTGACGAACTGCTAGGCTTCCGATACTGGGGCGGCATCCAACGCGATTTCCAGAATGAACTAACTGCGCAAGGCTACACTGTCTACACCGCTGCGGTTGGTCCGTTCGCCAGTAACTGGGACCGTGCCTGTGAGCTCTACACGATCATCAAAGGCGGTCGAGTAGACTACGGCCAGAAACACTCGGCCACGCACAACCACCTTCGCTATGGACGCAACTACACGGGGCTATATCCGCAGTGGGGGACAGCCAACGCGGATGGCTCCGTCAATAAGGTACATTCGTAGGACACAGTACGGGAGGCCAGACCGTCCGAATGCTCGCTCAGCTCTTGGCGCACGGCACGACGGGCGCTCCGATCGAGGAAGACCCGACGTCCCACGAATTGTTCAAGGGAGGTAAGAAGTGGGTACACTCCATCACGACCATTTCGGCACCGAACCAAGGTACCACCTTGGGTGACGGCTTCTCGGTTATCGGAGACTCGGTCAAGGATCTATTAGCTGGTGTACTAAGTGTCGTCGGTATCCTCGGAGACAGCACCAAAATGATTTATGATGCCAAGTTGGATCAATGGGGAATTACCCCCAATAGGTCAGGCGAATCCGTTCCAACGTACCTCGAGCGCGTGTTCGCAAGCAAGATCTTCGATCCAAGCTTCATAGACGTGTGTCTGTGGAGTTTATCCACCGGTGGTGCCAAGGAGGAAGCGACGTGGGTCAGGACCCTCAGTGACGTGTACTACTATAGCTACGTCCAGGGAACCCGAAAATGCATTACTTAAATTAATACATCGATGTGAACTGAGAAAATTAATAATTTAATTATTTGCAAAACTTCGCAAGTCACGATTGTAGTTCAGGAACATTATCATCTCGAGCCTGGCTGGAGACATTCGCTTCCGTAGATCAGACAGCACCAGCTTAGCGAGAGAGAAGAAGCGCTCACACTCGTTAGACGTTGGCGGGATGTACGCGACGTCGACGTAGCGCAATTGCGTTTCTTGAACGCCGCTCTCACAATAGAACGCTCTCGGCGGCTCTTGAAGACGACCGTTCGAGATCAGGCGACCTAAATTCAGCGCAGGCTAATTTTTCCGCGACGTTCAGCGCACCCCCACGCTGTAACTTGACTAGACCTTACTCAAAATTGGGGTTGTTACAGCCATAAATTAATAATTAAATTAAAAAATTAGGATTAATTTTTGCGCATATTATTTTTTCGGGTTCCCACTCAGTGGGCCGCTGTCACGTTCGCTGGGGCGTCTCAACTCGGGAAATGGAACAAGATGCCGCAGTTGAACCGCCTTGACCACCTCGCTGTCGTTGGTATTACACTGCACACACAGGTGCTGGATCTGTACGAGGGACACGCGGCTTTGTTGTATGCTCTGCCTACGAGTTCCAGCTCCCGTCGACTGGCTGACGCGCCGGCTGCAGTGGCGAAGCTAGATACTGCCATTATAGAGCTGACCGCTGCAACGACGAGCGTGGAGACCAAGAGCGATCTGGAGTCACTGTGCCAGAATCCCAAGAACTCGTACGCCCAGAGTTACTGCACTAAGATGCTTGAGGCCGCCCCCACGCGCCGTCTACGTGGATAGGAGGCAGAAATAGTATGGTGCGTAGATTTTGCCCGTGTAGTGTTTTTGTAATTGAGCAATGTGAGCTTGAAGCTATTCAAGTTGAACATGGTTCTAAGTAGCCCAGTTAGTTAGTGACAAGTGAACGCAATGGAAGACGCTTACATTATTAAAGTGGAAGGTAGTCAGATCAGATGTGAGCTTCCAAAAAGAATGAGGCGGTATCGGTAGTCGAAAAAATGCGAAATGGTCGCACAATTAACCCTTTAGGACCTAAGCCTTAAAGTCCCTCAGGGGGCCTCTTACGTAAGCATACGATTGGCTATATATACATTTATAGAACGTTTGCCAGTCCCTTCTGTCGTGCCCTGTCTCTTTATTTTCTAAGAGTCCCAGTTTGGGACTCTATCTCGACCAGAAAGATACCACTATAGTAAATGACCATAAGTCATTGGTAGAAATTGCGAAATACGCTAATCTTATTGGCTACATTTTTGGAGGCCCTGGCAGGGTCTCTAAGACGACCTCAGGTCTTAAAGGGTTAAAGGCATGTTTTTCGTGTACTGCGATTTTCACGTGGATGTCTGTCTATTAATCGCAACGGGGGTTCAAAACACGAAGGGGGGGGGGGGGCTGACCAAAACTCAGAGGCCCAGTACTTGAGTATTCTTGTAAAGTTTGTCCAGATCATATTGAGTTTTTTTGCTGGCACTTTGAGTATGCTAAGCTCCTTACTGTACATGTAAAGAAGCAACCGCCCTACATAAAGTAGTGCAATCCAGAGCTTCTCGGTGAAAGACGGCTTTGTCTATTATAGTATGAACACTTCCTTTGTCAGTAGCCACATATTGAACTCAGGCTAAATTGTGAGTAGATCCAGGGGACTATGTACTTGTAAATTTGTTATATATAGTGTTTACAGGGATATCATGCTTTCCTTATTGACGCATTACTGTAAACATGTACTACATGTACTACTGCAGTCCTGTATACCGGTACCGAAGTAAAAAAATACGCGATCACACGGTACGAGTCGCACGGCGATCACAAAAAGAGGTACATTGGCGATACAGTACTGCACCCCGTTTTTGCGACCTTGGACCTTTGATAAACTTCCAAAAGTGATGATTTAGAAACCAAATGAATTATTGTTTGTATGCTAAAATCTAATTTATATTAAATTCCTATATGGTCCACCCCGCGAAAACGGGTTCAGTACTGTACGGTATGTCGTACGCACCTGCTCCGCGGCCTGCGTGAATCCTGAAGTATGATCAAGCAACATTATGCGGATTAAATTACAACGGTTAGTCGTAAATTACAGTGATGCTACCCTTGGCCGCCACAAGCAACATTCACCTGGATGACATCACTATGAATAGTACAAAGGATACTCAGTTATGCATTACCGTTCTTTTTTATTAAAGTAAAGATAATGTTTCTGATACAAGCTGAACGGACAGGTTATGCACGCTTAGAAAAGAAACCCACTATTTTGGGTATGACTAACCGCTCCATATTTCTCTGGCTTTTTGATAGTTGTGTAACTGACGTCATCCAGCAGATAAGACCCAGTTTTTTTTTCTCCCACCCACAAAAAATTCATTACCCACCCACTCAAATCCGAAAAGCTGGGTTTTGGCGAACTGCTGGACAACGTCCAGTTTCCAGCGGCCATTGTGGCATTGCCGCAAATAATGAAACACATTGATTTTTTTCTAACGACACGCATTGAGGCAGTCACAGAGGTAGCAACACTTGATGATGACCGGTGGATGTATCGATTACTAGCGGAATACCCCATCGGAAGACTTGATACGCTATCATCATTGCCGGCTCGAAAGGGTATTGGACACCATAGTGTGGGAGGGAATACTCGTCGTGTACGGGGATCTGTGCGATACGCCTCCTAATATCCGTGACGCGTTACTCAAGGCTGCCTCTTTAGCTGCCGAGAACGGCCATCAGACCACCGTCGAGTACGTGGTGGAGGTGATTGACGAAGTGTCGTACACCTATAACAAGTATGAAGGGATGAAGGAAGTTCTGCAAGGTGGAGCGAGCCATGGTCATCTGAATATTGTCAAGTTCATGGTGAATCACGCTTTAGAAAAGAAGTACACTCACGTTTACGGCGCACGGAATGAACCCGACGCATTGACACACGCGATTCTGGGCCAACACAATGAAATAGTCGAGTTTCTGTTGCAAATAGTGGGCGAAGTTAGTTGGAATATAGCCAAACCCGATGACGTAGCAGCGTCGAGGCATGACGAGCCACTCGCAGAGAAGCTGTACGGCATCTACCCGGGCACAGTCCGGACGGGAGATTTGCTCGTTGAGCTCGCACGCAGAGGATATGATCAAGCTTTGAAGTATGCGTACACTAGCGGACACGATAACGTCGAGTCGACCAACGCAGCTTTCATGGCTGCAGCGAAGTGGGGGTCGATTGATGTCCTTAAATTCTAGCTCAGTACCAGTCGTATTTCGTCTGAAGTATTCGACGCAGTCCTCAAGGAAGCAGCTGGCTCGATGATATAATTAACAGAAACGGTAACTTTTCTCTGCAGCAAGAAGCTGGCACCGTCTGATGCGCTTTCCGTGTTACAAGCCACTTTGCAGCGCTCCAGTATTTATGCGAGAACAAACAAATCTCGTCCGAGTCGATCATCGCTGCCTTCAGACGAGCATCCGCTTGTGAGTGAGTCTTTTCTATTCTCGCGTAAGTGAGGACAATGTTGAAGCGGTCAAGGTCTGGACTGCATTCTTGTCGAAGTCATCGGTGACGCTGTTTCCACTAAAACCCTTCACAATGAGATCATTGAGCTTCTGGGCGACGATCCACGCCTTACAAGTGAAGCCAGAGACGCGGCGTCTCGAGGTCATTGGGATCTGGCAGAATCTCTGTACTGTACGAGTCTGGTTTGATTTCTCCTAATGCGCTACTGGGAGCGTTCATGCAAACACTTTATCAGTGTTTTTCACGGATCTTAGAACTCTCTCAAGCCTCCTGTGTGACAAAGAGCGTGTACCTCGTGATATCAGGATCAAGGCATTTGTGTGTGCGGGAGAAAGGGGAGTGCTGGAGATACTAAATGAGACTGCAAGAGGCAACTGACCGCTGCAAGTGCTAAAGGAGGCGCTGGAATTGGCGTCGGAAAAAAGTCGATAACTTCTTCCGCGAAATTATCTGCGACCAGATTTTCAGCGGTAGCGCAGTTTGTGGCTGTGGTCACGTGATTGAGAAGCTGAAAGTGAGAAATGATATGTGGGAAACGTAGCTAGCGTTCGAGTGCCGTAGTTGCAGACAGCTGATAATAAGTTGATCAGTCTTTCAGTTTTTAATCTACCTCTTTGCTGTTTTGCCATTGTTGTACTCTATATTCTTAGAAATCGAAGAAGAAAAAAGCATCTCCGCTTAATCAGGAAAACAATAATTCTCAGCTTAAACAAATTTATGATGCAGGGAAAACTATAATGATCATTATTAAGCTATAACAAAACAAAAATCGCTAGCACCATCTTTAGAAGATCTACAAGACTTACAGTATTTATGTTTGGTGACCTTACTCAGGTATCATAATAAAATGATCGTAGTACCTGAAATGTAAAAGCTTAAGACTAACGAAATATATCTAGCACTATTGTTGCTGGAAGAATAACAACAAAGCTCTAACATGGATGATATCATTCTATTCAACTATTAGAACGGAGCTTTAGCTCACGTTAAGCTTCACCTTAAGCTCCAAATGGCCTCCTTGAGAGGATCTAGGTACCCACAGGACCAGCGACCCGCCTCCTGTTCCTGGAAGACCGAGAAATCCTGGACGCCAGCGGTCGAGGTACAGCGTTTTACCACCAAGAGCCTTGACAGTTGAATTCCAGTCGCCAGTTCCTCCTGCTTTGACGTCGACTTCGTCGATCCTGTTCCCTCCCGACATGATGTTCACAGTCACGTCTTTCGTGTCTGTACTCGAGAATTTGATGATGACGGCTCCGTCGCCCTTCTTAGTCCACGAGCTAGTCGTCCCCTTGAAAGCCTTTTGAAGCGTATTCAAGCCCAACGTAGCAGGTTCTGTACCATCGTCGATCTCGCCCATAAACTGAGTAGGTACACAAACTTTCTGGATAAACTCAGAAAAGAATAGCGTAATACGAGTAGGGTCTAGCAGCGTTACAGCGGCAGCGGTGAAGGCAAGATCGACCACTCTGTACGCTTTTTCCTTGTCGTCGTAGGACGTGCCATTGTCGCTCTTCCCCGACTTTATAAGGTCGTTCATAATAACTCCAAAGGTCTTGCGCAAAACCTCACGCGTCTTGTAAGCGGTTGCTTGATTGGACTCGGCTATCATCTGGTGCATACAGTTGTTCGTCACTACAGTTATATCGTGTGGTACGAGGTCGGAGTCGGTAATCTTTAGCCGAACTTCATCATCTGTGATGCCAGGATTCTCTTCTCGGTACTCGTTCACAGTAAGCCATACCCGGTCTACTAGAGACTTGAGCTCTCCGCCACAGCTCGAATTTTGCTTCATGGCTGTCTCAAGCGACTTGATCTCCCCCTTGGTGATCTTCTCGGCGGCTTCAGTGAAGTTGGCCCCTCTAAGAAATGCTCGGAATCGCTGCCAACTCAAAATAATACTATCAGCATGAGCCAGAGCTTGCGACAGCATCCACTGAGTGTGGTCACCACTTTTTGCGACAAAATGAGGCTCATGGACACACGCATTTTCATGCAAACTGCAATAGTAAGAGGTAAATCCGTGACCACAATGCTAGAGTGAAACAGTAGGAGGAGTATTTTGCGGTCGGACGCCTGGGGATCTGCAGCTTTCATGGTGCGAATGTATCGGAGGATGCCTCGCATCGTCACCATGACCAACGTGGAGCACCCGGCAGCCCACCAGACCTTCTTGCCCAGTATCTCCAGCGCACCAAACGCACCAAATGTGGCACTACTGAGGACGGTAATGCCAAAGGCAGAGAACTTGCTGGCCACCTCAATCCCACAGTCGTCATTTTGACGGATACATTCCATGCCGCATTCAACAGGATACTTGATGGGGCATTCAGTCCAGCACGTATTTGTGGCCTCGTTCCGGTCGTAGTTGCTTGGACAAACATCCATGATGTGAGCCTCTCGATAGCACGCCGTATCTTGCGACATTGACCACGTTCCCACCCAATTGCGGTACGTTGATATGACAGCACTCTTCGCAGTTGCAGGGGTGGCAATGTCCACTTCACTGGTGGATGCATACGATCTTGAAACCAAGGATCTGGTAGGTTGTGTCGGTACGGGTACTGCTCCTTGCGCTCTCAATGGTGAAGTACCGGCGGTTGTTGCGGTGGGACTGGATATCACAATGAATAAGGTGAAAAGTATCTTTAGGAGAGCCATTGCACTGTCATATGGAGTCTCGAATGGTGGCTTGTTGAGCTGGTGTGACGTTCGGCGCAAAACCAATTATGTTTGGCTTCGAAAGGTTTCCAAGACCTGTTTAACACCCGAAGAAAAAGGTATCGTTGCCGGGTCACCATTGAACATACCCAAGACGACTTCTGAAACAATTCGCATCATGAGGTTGTGGCACAAAGGCGGTTCGGTTGGGAAACTTGCTGCGATCTACGACCAGCGCAATAATTTTCTTTTTGCTTAAATACCACGCAGTGGTTCCTGAAATCACATTTTTATTTTATCCGTCCATGTTATGTTGCATTAACGCGGCGATTTTGCTCGATTGTTGTCCCTACGGAGAAAAGTAGTGTACTCCTCATGCGGTTGCTATAATAGTTCGAGACATGTACATGAGATTTGTCAAAACCTCTAGGGTCAATTAAGAGCATCAACGAGAAGAACAGGATACAACTCGGTTAAATTTAATACATTCTCTACCTGATACAGGAAGAATATTTATTTTCCAGACCAAACGACTTTTAATCTGGAAATCGATTGGTTTGTACCAAAATATTTATGATTGGTTTATTTTTTTCGCATTTGGTACACGTAAAAATTGGTGATTTCAGGAACCACCCACTATTTATTAAAAAAAAGCGTCGGCAGCAAAAAAAAACGTTCTGAAATCATCAAGTAACTGAAGATAGCAATTCGTATGCGTTCGAAAAGACGTCTTGTGGCCAGCATTTTGAGTGCCACGGATTAATAAATGTGCCGTGGAACTCGGCTCGGTGTGTGCACGACGTGGTGTTCAGGATCAAAGAAAGGACAGCGACTCTTATATGCAAACTGGACCTCAGCTCGCATGTTCAGTACAGTACTGTACAATGTAGTTAAGAAACGGCAAATAAACGACTCCTTACAAAAAACACAAAATCGTGCAGGAGAGCTTAGCTTACAATCCTCTTTGGAGTGGTACCCAGATAGTGATACCCTCTACGTTAGTTAAGGAGGTCGGAGTGGTCTCAGCCATGAAGGTGATTGTGATTCCTCTGAGTTGTAAAAAAGGTATCCCTACAGTTTCGAAGAGGATCGTCTGTACACTTCAAAAAAACAGAAAGTTGGCACAGCTTTAACCTTGAATTATTTCTAAGGTCCACAAGTACAAAGCTCTCCTGCTTGATGTTGTATTTTAGCTCAGAACGGATATACCTGTCTCACTCAACCCAAGTAGAAATCTTACTATGAGCCTCTGGGTACCATACTAAATCAGTTGATGCTCGTAAGCGGGACCTGTACTTAGTACGAAGCAAAGCACGGATGAGAACTGACCACAGATTGATGGCATTCACTGGAGCTCTACAGCAATATTCAACTATTAATAGGACTGTGGAAGTTGCATATCTCACAAAGTTATCCTGGTGACCAAAGGTATCCTAGGTATTTTGCATGTGCTAGCAGGTGAACCATTAGGTGTTTATGGTATTATTATTGGTGGTTGGTCAAGTAACTCAAAATATTCACGCTATGCATTAAAATCTACTACGCAAATAATTTCAAATAAATTAACTAAGTTACATATTGGATTTCAACACTTTCAGTTTTTTTTGTGCCTGAGCGAGAGACACAAAATTGTTTTTTTGTTTAAATAAAAAAACGCAATAACTTGTGTGTCATAGGAACCCAGAAGTCTTTCATTTTAAGAGTTATCAAGTGCAGAATTAATGTCATTATCCGAAGACCATGGTTCAACACCTCGTTTCCAACGTAGTCGCCCGTTTTTGTATTCGTGCCCTACTGCACAATGTACACGGTGTAAGGGAAATGGTCAATTAAGCGCCGTTTGCCAATTAAGCGCCACTCTCCATTTTGGCCTGTCATGTATCGGTTTCGACTTTTACCTCTTCCTATTCACTAATACGTCATAAGTACGAAGACCTGCATATTTTCATTCAAAAATTAGGCGGGAAAGCGCCAGCATTTTAGCGCCACAACCATTCAATCCTCAGCTACCATGACGAAACCAAAGGACGTCGGAGCTATACGACGGAGCTAAAGAACGAAGTTGTTGCTCGAGCTCGAAGAGGCAAGACTATTGCAGAAGTTTCTGCTTCTTCAGGCGTTCCTGAGAGAAGGATTCGCGAATGGAGCACGAAAGTCAATCAAGGAAAGTCGCTTGGCGCGGCACGTCCAGGAAAAAAACCTCTTTTACCAGCAGAAGCGGAGCAGCATATATATGATTGGGTGGTTGGGCGACAGCTCGTGGGGTATCCTGTCGACCGGGCTGGAATTTTGAGGAAGGCAAATGCGATTTCGCTACTCGTGTGTGGCAAGAGCGTCAGCGATGGATGGTACCGTCGTTTCCTGGAGCGTAATCCATCGTTAACGTCACGGATTGCTCAAGCGCTGTCGCTGAAGTGTCATTGCGTTGTGAAGGAAGATCTCACTACGTTGTTCAACACCCTGGCGAAGCTGGTTATTGAGCACCGTCTGGATAGCTCTCGCGTATTTAATATGGACGAAACGGCTTTTCAAACCCGGAAAAAGAGCAATAAGGTGGTAGCTGTACGTGGTTCCTCCAATGTTTGGTGTACAGACCCACCCGTCAACTTTCATCTCTCTATTGTCGCGTGTGGAAGCGCTGCCGGCTTCGTGGTACCGCCCGCATTCATCCTGCCTGGCAAAACGGTTCATTGGGATATTCTGGAGGCATGTGATGTTGCTGGGGCGTCTATTACAACGTCGCTGTCGGGATTTATCAACGCGTATCTGTTCCAGAAGTGGCTACAGTTTTTTGCCAGCTCCGTTCCTAGCAGCGTGCAGCGACCCATCCTGCTGGTTCTAGACGGCTGCGCGTCTCACTATTCCGCCGATGTGATAGACGTAGCTACAAGTTTGGGTATTCTGCTGGTGCTGTTACCACCAAACGCTACACATTTGTTGCAGCCGTTAGATGTTGCCGTCTTCGCGACGCTGAAAGACAAGCTATGCAACCTTATAAATGAGGTCGTTGAAGAAGACGACGAGGGATGTTATTCTATCGACAAAGTGACGGCTGTTAGGCTGGCTGGTATGGCATGGAAAAGCGCCAAATTTGGCCGAAACATCAAAGTTGGGTGCAAGACATGCGGAATATTTCCAGTGTCGCTGGTCAGTATGACCGAACGCCTCCAACTCTACAACAAAAATGGCGCTCCGCGCCATGTCCACCTTGCATCCTGGCTGCATGCTAAACCGGTAGTAGAGGCTGAAGTTCTCATGCTGCCTTCGCCGCCATAAAAGACGAGTAAGCGCAAGCGAGTAGGACGATGGCCAACCCATGAAGTGCTGCAAGAACTTACAGCCAGCAAAAGCAATGCCAAAGCAAAGAGACAAAGGAAACGAACGGCAACTGAGACCGCAAACGCACAGGCTCACGAAGCTGTACTCTCAGTCGTTGTGTAAGGGAATAAAAAAGATGTTGGTTTGAGTTTGTAGATATTCTTAGAAATTGCAACACTTACCATTTTAGTGCGGAGAATTAACGGCAACGAGCGGACTCGAACCCGCGACAACCCTGCTCCCCAAGGGGCCCTCAATAAGCTGGCCGTCTTAGCGGCTTGAGCTGTCAGCACTTAACATGAAACTGGGATCAGCTCAAATTTGGTGTTTCACCTACAGTAATATATATACTGTTTCATTTTATGGAAGATCACAAATATCAACACTGAGAGTAGACCTACACCTTTGTTTGGCAAATTTTCGTGACTGGTTCCTTTTAGTGAAATCAAGGTTAAAATCGGCGCTTAATTGGCAGGAGGTGCAAATTTGTGGACATCACAACACCTTGCGCTTTGAACGCGTTTTCATTCGCTAGTAGATGCAAAAATCTCGAACAAATCGAGGAGGGAATGGGCTTTCTGAAACTGTTTGCATTTTACTCCTTTTCAAAGTGGTTGCTGAGGAATGATCAGAAATATGCACAGCTTGTGACACGGCGCTTAATTGGCCATTTCCCTTGGTACACGTCGTGTTCATGAGCGATAAGCGACGCCGTCGGAGCGAGCGTAATGGATTAAGAACGGGATAAAGTACATGTATCAATACAGACAATCCTCTTTATCGTGATAAACATTTTTTATCACTATCCGGGAGAATCACTATCCATAATTGTACCATTACAATGGTACCAGCTCATGTGCTGTTGCTCCAGACTGAAAAATACAACGATTAGAGCCTGTCGCAGCACCAAAGAACCATACGTAACAACTGAAGAAATGGTTTTCAGCTAGTCGCTCTCACCCAGCGAATAATCGGTCTTGAGCAATCACGCAGAACTGAATACAGACCCCCCTCGCTAAATTAATACTACCCGTGGAAAGTGTTAATAATAAGTACAACAGCACGATTAGGCTACAAAGTGGATGGGTGTAAACCAACAAAACTTCGCCCGCCATGCCTCTCAAAAGCACTTAATTGGCATTTCGCCGAGTCCAAACAAGATAGGAAAGCGCCCCAAGCAAGTCGACAACCTCACGTTTGGGCAAAAGGAACGCATCTATGAATGGCACGACGAAGATTTCAGTATAACTCAGAGAAAGCTTGCTGAAAAAGCTCAGTGTGAGCTCGGAGCACCAGCACGAGGAACAATTTCCAATATTTTGAAGGCTCGAGATCAAAATCTTACCACTAAAACAGGCGATTTGGACTATAAGCGTCCCGTGTTGTTGCATTCCCCGTGGTGGATGAAG